AAGTGCAGTGTTGATGTTGGACCACCAGAAACCTGATGATCCCCTGACCCTAGATAGGGAGAAACTCGGGGTAGTTGACCAATTCACTTGCCTTGGCAGCTGTAAAGGCAATGATGGGTGCAGAGAAACTGAAGTCAGTTCACGTGTTGTAAAGGCCAGAACGGTTATTTTAAAATCTGCGACATCTTCGGCGACAGAAAGGAGTTTCCTCCGTCTGAAATGCCGTGTTTACAAGGCCACAGTGAGGTTCGTCCTAATCCATGGGAGTTGGACTTGGTCCCTTCGAGCTGAAGAGCTGAGGAGCCTTCAAGTCTTTGATCACCGCTGTGTGCGGAGCATTGCTAGTGTCGGGCGGTACCAGCGGGTCCAGGACGATGACGTGCGTAAGCGAGTGCTGGACAATGATAGCCATGCTAGTTCATTAGAACAACAGATAACACTGAATAAGTTGCGCTGGTTTCGGCACTCACTACGTATGCCCGGTCACCGCTTACCGAGGAGAACGTTGTTTAGTCTGCCAGATGTAGGGTGCCGCAAGGTTCCTAGTGGACAGAAATTGTAGTCTTACTTAGGTTACTTTACTGCGGCTAGCTCCTGCGACACAAATACCAATCCAATGATTTTTCCAGTGACGAGCACCATGCACACCCTAGAGTTCCAGAAGATAGACATCTGATTTCACTGCGGCGAGCTACGTATTCAATCGTTCACCGCGGCGACGACACCAACCCTGGAAAGGCGAGGGCGAAACCACGGACCTATTGAAGTCAGTGTCCGATCTGCGTAGGACCTGACCGAACCATGAAATCTGCGGCGTTGGATGAGCGCTAAGAGCTTCGGAAGACCAGAACAACGTTTACGAACTTCCTCAATGGTGGTAAGCTTATTTCGCTGCGTTTCCAAAATAAGCCTTAGACACTGATGTCCGAAGACTTCCAGCTTCCGGGTGGCTTTTGATCGCAGCGGCCATTTTTTGCAATCATAGAGTAAAGTAGCATGAATGGCTGCTGAGAATACACGGATTTTCGTTCTCAGACTAATTTCCGTCCTTCGCCACAACATGTTTCTCAATTGTAAGAAGGCTGTTCTGGCGTTGTCGATACGATTCAGGATTTCGGATGTAGTCTGACCACTGGGAAGAATAGTGGATCCAAAGGACTTGAGTTCAAGAGCAGACTCGATGAGTTGTCCATGTAAGGAGAGTGACGGGGCGAGTCGGGTGGCTGACGATGAGAAGTATTTCGTCTTGTTGATGTTATTTTCGAGGTTGATCATAAAGGCTGATTGGTCGATTCGATGTAGCACTGACTGTAATGATATAGGACTTGATATAGGACCTTCTGTAAGTATAGAGATATCATCAGTAAATTCTAGGACCTGATATAGGATCTTCTGTAAGTATAGAGATATAGTCAGTAAATTCTAGGTCTGACAGCCAGAAGTCTGGGCTAACTTGGACACCACGGTAACCCACAAGTGCATGATGCATAACCCAGTCGACTGCGAAGTTGAATAGCACTGGAAAAAGTGAGGAACCCTACTGGACTGCTGTAATGATGTCGAATTCCTTTGTTTCTTCTCCAGAGACCTGAATACGGGCCTTCGTGCAACGGCAGTATGATCTCATCAAGTTAACGAGTTTAACCGGCACGCCATCGGCAAGTAGTTCCGCGGTCAACTGAATCAAAGACAGCTCAAAATCAAAGAAGCCAATAAATGTGGGCTGTTGGAACTGGCAGTGGTGTTCGAGTACCCGACGTAGAGTGAAGTTATAGTCAGTGCAGTCTCTGCTTGGACGAAAGTCACCTGGGTTATGGCGAGTTCGCGGGTTCCTCTCATTGACAAAGCGGGAAATCAAGATTCACGCGGTTTTGACAGCCACATCGATTAGGCTAGTCCCACGATAATTACTACAAACAGTTCGGTCACCTTTTTTTAGGAAATGGCAGTAGTACTGAGGTACTCCACGAGGAAAGACAGGTTTCGGTCTCCGATATCGAACAGAAGAGCTCGTGCAAATGGTCCATGACGGCTGGTAGACAAGATTTGTTGATTTCCGCTGGAATCCCATCCGCTCCAGGAGCATTCTTCAGCTTAAGGCGACGAATGATATCTGCAACTTCTGTGTGTGATAGCTGTGAGCAATCCGCGTCATACTCTGACAGAGTTAATGCTGAAATGGGTGCGGTGGTGTGTAGTGGGCGGTTTAGAACGTTCTTAAATACTCTACCCAACTGGAAAGTTTTCCTTCCGCATCAGGGATTAGTTGGCCACCCGAATTGCGCAATATTGATTGCGGTGAACAGCGTCTGCCAGATAAGACGAAAAAATGACCCAGATTGCCAGAATTTGATGCAGCCTGTTGTTGCCTGCGATAACAGACCAGTAGCAGTTGCGATCATCCCGAGCTTAGTGGGTTGCATGAAGTCTCAAGCGGCGGTAGTCTGGTGTATTCGTGAGACGTGCTTCTCTCGCTTTAGCGCACACACGAATAGTATCTTTAGTGGTCCAGTCCTTCACAGGCTTAGAGGCAGAGCCCAGGGTAGATAAAGCGTTGAAACTGATGATTTTAATCTAGACCAACGAGTGTCGACAGATTCATATTCTGCAAGAACGAAAAGTGGTACACTGGTAGTGATTTGTGCTTCTATTGCTACTTCAATGGATCAGTAGCATTCAGAATTTTCCGGTGGGGCAGTTTTGATACGCTTTGGCGGAGGGGTCTTCCGGCGCGATGTCAAGCGGAGTCTGAATTTGGCCCGCAGGAATACGTGGTCCGAACCACCCTTACTCCCCGTTTCAGCCCCTCTGTGCGCTCGACAGCCATCGAGGGAGAACACCCACCGGGATCGGATTAAGACTTCATTTATCTGGCTAGCTGTACAACTATCATTGGAGTACCAGGTCAGAAGATGCTTCCTGTGATGCTAGAAGCGAGTATTGGTTATGCACAACCAGTTAAGGTCAGTGGAGCTGAGCAAGTGGTCTTCATTATCACAGCGCTCTACAAGAGCGCATCTCTCGTGTATGTGACCGGTCTGGTCGTTTCTCGGCCCGGTTCGTGCATTCCGGTCCCCAGCAATAATGAGGATGTCGCGTTTTGGAACATGGTTCACCACTGGCTGTAGAGTGTCGTAAAAATCGTCTTTGTCCCTGTCCGCTGAAGGTATGGCTGGTGCGTAGGCAGAGATGATGGTCAGATTCATCGAGTGACCTTTGAAGCGAGCAACTGCTATTCTAACTGATACTGGCTTCCATGAAAGGAGAGCGTTGTGTGCCTGATAACTGGGAGCTATGGGGACCCCATGATTGCAAGAATTATCTTACGGATAAATGCGGCAAAGCCAATATAAGGCGTCTATACTAGAGACTTTGATTTTTCGAGAGACAAAGCCGGGTATTCGAGATTCGGACAGGCATGCTATATCGAGCTGGTAGTCATGTAGTTTGCGCATGGTGAACGCTTGGCTGCTGACATCCAACAGGGTTCTGACATCCCACCATCCAATGAAAATGGCTTCCGGGGATTGAGAGACCCAACTAGCTTACTGGGTTAGCGCACAACGCGTCGCCCACCGGGAAAGCCATAGCATGAGAAGAATCGCGGTTAACGGATATGCAATGAACTTTCGTGGGGATTATGTGTACGTAGCAGAACGCCAACCTCATCCGGCTTTTGTTCGAGGGTTAACTTCGAGCTTTTGCACAGCCGAGTGCAACCTACAAGGCAGCAGGGATATGGGAAATTGTCTTAACTTCTAGCTGTTGTCAAGACTGACGTTGTACGCCGGTACGAATTCACCAAGAATATTGTTCCCGGCTACCCTCGCCTGACGGTTGACGGGGGTGTGGCCGCTACCGCGTGCAAGCAGCTTCTTGCTGCCACTGGTAAGAGCCGGGTGACAGATAGAGACCAAGGATAGGCAGACTACTCCGGAGGGTAAGGCAGGTCCCCTAGCACAGGTGCTACTTCTCCCTGGCACCCCGAACACTCCGAAAATTAAAGTCAAAGACGATCAAACTTGGTATCGTCGGTCAGTCGCGCCTTCCATACTGAAGTCCACGTAACTGGCCTTGCGATTGGTTGGAGATGTTGTGCAGGACATGACTCGCAGTCGGCATAACCTGCTAGCATATTTTACGAAAAATGGTAGAAGATAGATGAAAAACCTTAAATATTTTATGAGTTCGATTCGATAACGGGAACTGAACTGCTTGCTAAATTTTGCCATGCCCAATAAATGTTAACCTTATCGGATCTTCAGTTTCGATTCTCCAATAACATATTTCGTGCAGTGGCGTTGTTCCTTGCTTTTGTATTGTGCAATGTAACTTACACTGACACTTATCACAGAATAAGCGGTATTACAATTTATGATGTATGGATCATTATTTTCCGTGTAAGTACATATGATCGCTATTTAGGTTAATTAGTCAGGCAGGTAGTGTGCAGAAAGTGGAAATGTAGTTGTTAGCTCCCTATAGATTGTGTAACCTCAGCGCTATTGCCATTACTCCAACTGCCAAGTTTTTCTTCCGGTAGATAGGCCCTTATTGCAACTGATTACATTAATGTTCACCTAGGAGAATGACTAGACGAGTGATTTATCGCACTTGCTCAACTATTATAGCTTATGGAGGCAATGTAGAAGATTATTAGGAGAGTCCCTGAAGAGAGGTGAACAGATGATTACTTTCATAGGTACCACAGGAAACACGGAAACGTTTAATGAGAATGCTGCAGGTGAGGTGGTCCCTGCCCGCGTGTCCCTTAAATATGTATCCGGAATCAGAGAACGAAGCTGGTAAGACAATGACTGAAAAGTTGGCTTCTAAACTTGAAAGTAAGTATAATCGGCACTGACTACGGAGTCCATAGTAGATGTAACACTTGCTGATGCTCATGATGTTGCGGTGAAAATGGAGCTGGGTAACCGGGTTATTCAAAACCGCCCAGTGTTTCCAAGGTGCACAAGCTTTTGATTGTGCTTCGGAAGTACCTACCTATGTGAGCAAAAGATTACCGCACGCTAATGCGCACCCCACGCAGCACCGTTACTACCTAGATCCATTCTGGATTGTACAGCCACTTGGGGTTAATACGACGTCTTACCTGTGTATACCAGGGTGCACGTGTGCCTTCTGAAGAGATTGTTCGCATCCAGCTTCACATACATGGCTTTCGACCGTTCCACTCTTTAGAACTATAGATATGGACTATCGTTCGCCGCAGCATACCACCCATAGACTATACATCATTTGCCGTTGGGATCTACTACGGTGAGAAGCCGGACAACGTCAACAAATACCTGGGGCCTCTTATCTCCTAACATTTGGAGCTTAGAAATCGCATCGCTGTTCCGGGTGTTGAGTCCAATAACCCCCTTATATTAATGGCTATTATCTGCGATACACCAGCTAGAGCGTTTGTCAATAGATACAAGACACACGGGCTACAGCAGTTGTGATAAGTGTGTGCAGCGGGGGGTTTAGCTTAGGCGTAAAGGGACGTTCCCTGGAATAAAGTGCACTCCGCCTAGAGAAAATGGTTTACAGTGCGGCATCGGCTCAACCTGTCCCTTTCTAGAGTTTGAAAGCGGGCATGGCGCGCACGTTACCCATAGATCACATACACTGCGTTTGCCTGGGCGTAATGAGGCGTATGTTGATTTTATGGTTGTCTGCACCAGTCCGTCAACCGTTCCGGTTGAAAGCGGGAAAATTTCCCCATTGAGCGCTACTATTACTGCTAACGCACATTCCTGGCCGAAGATGAAGTTCAAAAGTCGTTGCAAGACTTTAAAGCTGATCAAATATTGGAATGCCACGGAATGCTGGAATTTACTTTTATACGCCGGTCCTGCTGTTCCTCGGGTGTTCGGAAAATGAACTGTCACAAGAATTTCCAGGATTTGCATTAAGTAGTGTATTAGTTGTAAGACCCTATGTCTAGCGTCAATATATCAAATTTGCTCAGTGTGCCACACGTTTTAGATGAGAAACACAAAAAGCCTTATGGGAAAAGTGATATGTCCTTCAATGTGCACAGTGTGACACATTTGGCGGAAGATGTTGAGACACACAGACGGCTGGATGATACCTCCCCCTTTCCCTTTGAATCACACATATGTTCTGGAACGAAGGTTACATAATGCAAGGAATCACACGGTGTAGTCAATGCGCAGGTGTTTAGAAACGATGTGAACCCCACACATGCTAACCAAGATGACGGGTTGCCGCTTCGTGCACGCGAATCATGATTTGGCCTTCAAAATCAACGACGTCCTGTACACCCACATCGGGTCAGACAAGTGCATCTTGGTTGAAGGCCAGCCGTATGTCATCACAGCCATTACACCAAGGGACGTTGGTTTCGGTGAAGTCAGGTGCCATCTGTTTATTGGTACCCGCGAATGTACGGCCACAGTACGCCGTCCTCCGAGCTGTCCATATTATTGGCAAACGGCGTGTCGGAGGAGACCCACGTTTTCCACATACAACACACTATATGCAAGTGTATTCGCCTACAACTTCCCGACCATTACGTCATCATCCCTCTATTAGATGCATATAATCATCGTTGCCTCCGTTACGATGCATCTGAGACTGCTTAGCATATACCGCTGCGGGAACTCGCACCAATGTGTGTATGCCAGAAAATGTGAATGCATATGGATGGCTACGCGTAGGCATTGCTTAACGCAGAAATCAGCTCCAAGCGTGATTCCAGTGTCTTCACTTTAGGTCACTATTCAGTGCAAACGTAAAGGTAAGTTACCCTACGCTATCGTTTTACAGTACACTCCGCAGTCCCAATATACAGCTAGAACAATGGTGTCCTCCATTATCGTCGGATCATGCAGGGCAGGTGTAACTCCACAATGATACAAATCTTAATGAAACACATAATCTGAGGCGTAAGTGACATGGTGCATCAGTAATGCAAGGATTGCGTCAAGATAATCTGCGACCATCCTTTGTAGTAACATCAATGCAATATTGTTCACACAGTCAACATGCGAATCGGGAACCGCTGCGATCAATCCCGCCGGAATTTTAGGTACCGCAAAGCGGGCGGTCTGTACATTTAAATCAGCGAATGTCGCCCGTCAATGACACCGTGGTTAGTCCCTCGCAAGGTAAGTTGACATCTTACATACACATTTTAAGTGGATTTGGATGATGGCGAATCGCGCGCATGACGTGTCTGGTAGCTCAATGTCTCCAGCGACGGTGACGAGACGGATGCAATGCATAGCACACCGAAACGATATATGCAATTGAAATATCATACTAACAATCATTTGTTTGCGCAGACGTCCTAAAAGCTTATCCCCACCCTGGAGAAAAGTAATCGGAAGAGTCGAAAGAGATCATCTTATGAGTTCCATCACGGAGATCCCCCATCGATGCCCATACTGAGCGTAGCTTCCAAATGGACTCCACGAAGGGCGCGCGCGTCTGTGCAGTGCCCTGATGGCTCCGAAACCACACACAATCCCTCCAGTGAGTATTGGTAATCCCCTTACAGCCTCCCATACTTGCAGCCGCAGCGCATTTGGCGCCCAAGCAAATGTCCGCATTACGATGCTCCTGTCACGCAGAACCTGGTAGGTCACGGAATATACCAATGAGAAACGAACCTTCTTTGCATACTTAGTAACACATATACGAAAGGAAATCACGGATTTGAGATCTACGCACAGCCTTATGTTTGAAAGGCTGAAACTACGGTCCCGGTCTCAAGTAAAAATGCTTTGCAGAAGTATTGCGTGGACTGCAAGATGATCAACGCTCCATTTTGGAATCCCTAAAAGCTTTGACAGAAACAGCGAGAAACCCACTGCCAACGGATAACTTACCCTTCATTCTACCTGTGACATCATTTAAAGAACTGCACGAGTTAAACGAAGTGGTAGTCGATACCGACAAGCGCAACATATTAATAAGTTGCACGCATTAGCCCGTTTAAGTGTATCAGCAATGTTTCCTAGTGCACATATGTGAATCCACCGTTACCGAGAGTGCACCTAGGTTATTGGACGCGATCATGACCAGAACACGTACCGCGTCCATTAAGTTCCGGGGTGCTCATGGACGGTTGGCATTCAAAAAAAAACACGTGTACACAGCGGTGCACTGCGAGTTTGTTATGGCGTTTATTAACAACATGATTCAGCCGATCGCTTGGCTCGTCACGTTAAATCAGGGACAATTAACATCGCCATTGCCCAAACTGTTAGACTTCGGCTGCACAGCGTCCGCAGCTACCCGTGTGCTTCCACACCTCGCACTCAATTGTGCACAGAGGAACAGGTAAGAGGCGCACCCTTCTATGTGAACCTCACGTTTCGTTACAGATAACGTTACACCCCATTTCCCAAGATTAACGCTGTACCACAATGATTACGGTTAAATATATTTTGTTCTACAAAAGCAGTGATATCGTCACACAATACGCGATGCGCAGTTTCGTAAGCCCAGCTTTTAACACTCTGTAGAACGAACACAATGGATATAAGGCTTCCAAACATCGGGGGTTTGCAGTCCCCGCTATGGAATAACACACAGTCGTTTAGGGGCGCGTTAGCACTGCCAAGTATAACGAATATATGCTTAGCGCTCCGATCACTGCGTAGTACGCCAATCCGTTTTTCACCTACATAAGTTTATCTCCCTGCATTGCACGAGTTTTACTGCTGCTAGTTAGACCGTTAAAACTAAGATGGGTATCGTACTATGGATTTGGGTACACCATTGTCGCGTTGCCATGAGCCCATTACCCAGTGCGACTGCAGCACGCACCTGCGGCGACCTTGAGTGTGTAATCCCGATTGGTTTCATCGGTCTCGCAATCTGATTGGCCACTCTGATTGCCTGTTAAAAATGGTAGTCTGCGGTAAACGCCCTTTTGCATTTGGCTGAAAAATTTTAAGAAAGTAATATTGTTAAAATAGGAAGGGGAATCGTAAAATGTGCGAAGTTCCGTAAACACGTACTGCCGTTTCCTAGTCGGAATGCCTGTTTAAAGTGTGATTCGTGCTGAGTTATCTGCTGGGTAATGGCTGATTATGACGCGAAGCAGTGAAAGTCGCAAGAAATCTGTCTCGCCTATGTTGCCTTACCTTTGCACAATAGCCAGCTATTTGTGATGGTATGTTGTTGATAAGGTGAAAGCGCTTTGACCCCCTATGTTTGTTTAGGACATAAAAGTTTTCCGGTAAGTTCCTCTGCCCACAGCCTTATTATTCTTCGTTCCGTAGATCATTATGGTTGTATGGCAAAGGAGCATCAGTTCAAATGGTTGATGTACTGCTTCTGTTGATAATACTGATCACCCTGCCATATCATTCACCGTCGGCTTGGAGTCTATGGCTAAAGTTTAAAAGAGTCGTTGCCAAGCCAACTCCTGAATGACCTCGACGCGTACCCGTAGTCAAATATTGCCAATCACTCGATAACATCAGGAAGCGGCGAAGATGGCAGTAGACGAAAGGCATCTGCATTATAAAATGGGAGGTCACCGGTTCGGAGCTGGGCGGACGACTCGGTAGTATCCGTAGCACACGGCAGCGAAGCGTCAGTACGGTGTACCGACGTACTGCTGTGCCTTTCTTTTTTCCATGGTGACAATAATGCAGTGTTGCATGCTGTGCACGTAATATATAAATATAGAGCAAACATTATTGTGAAGACGTGACAGGTCATAAAACAATCACAAAATAACTCACTTCGCAAAGAATGGTCGAATACAAGACCTCGGATCGCACTTGAGTGATTTGGCCAGCTCCAGCATAAATTGCATGACTATACACTGGTGTGAGACATGATCCATTAGATCGAATTTCTAAAAAGCAAGAGATAACCAGGAAAGGAGGTTTAGCAAGCGTAGGATGAGAGGATTAATTAGGTATCCAATAGTGTAAGTTGGTAGCGGATTGGATGAATAGAAGGGAATACGAACAGAGTGGGGTGTAAAAGGTTAGGTAAAGAAAACGCCAAAT